GTGGGATCTGTCATGGGAGCTCCAGTGGTATAAGACAGTAGGGGATTCCATTTCGGACTTTTCTTCCCAAATAATGTCTTAGAGACTTCAGAGAAGGCAAAGCACATGAGAGTCTCACCTCCTTTCTCTCCCCAAACACCATGGTTCCCCAGAACAGGGTGCCTCCTTCAGCTGCCTCCCTGAGGAAATGGTCCACCATCTTCCTGGTCCCAATCTATCCTACTCCAATTCTGCTCCTTCTTCATCTTCTCATGTCTAGTCACATGCAGATTTTGTCTCACCCAGGTTATTAACAATCTGTCCCCATCCCTTTCACCCCAGTCCCAGGTCACTCATGTATCGTCTCTCCCTTGACATTGCTGCTGTCTTCCTTTTCCACTCTGCCCTCATGCATCTGATGCTTAAGCAGCCTGATGATATTTGAAGCACAGATCAGATCGGTGCCCCCCATACCCATGCAAAGCTGGCAGTGGGTTTTTACTGAATTCAGTAAAATCCAAACTCTCCTCAGGACAGTCTCTGCCATCGTGGGCCTGTCTACACCTCCCACCTCTGTTCTTTCAGTCTCTCCTTTGGCTTGCCGCCTTACTTCCCTGGGTTGTATTTCAATGTGACAAGCTTTCTTTACTTTTGCTGTTGCTAGCCTCGCAGTATATGGTGTGGTTCATTTCCTCTCTCCCTTTGTGTCTCTTTGGGAAAGTCACATTCTGAGTGTTGCCTACGCTGAGCCTGCCTAGCCCTTCCCTGTCACACACTCTGTCTCCTTATCCCACTTAGTTTACATTTGTAGCAGTTATCATCAATGTATTGCTTGCTTGATTGTCTCTGCATTAGAAAATCTGCTCTGGGAATTTTATTCATAGTTCTAATGCGCAGAGCAGCATGCTATGCCATGGGTTCTAACTACATTTCCTTCAAATGCAGCGTGGGACACAGGTGACTCCAGTTTTGTCCTCCTGCCCACTTTGTTTTCAGAGCCTGAGTTTAGAGGAGATGATGAGTCACTTATGTCCTGCCAAGCTCATTTATCAGCGAGGAACCGAGTCACAGTTTTAGTCCTCATCTTGAATGTGAGCTCTACATGTGTCTTCTCTGGACACCGCGTGCAGTGCACATTGTTTCCAGGGAGTCCCTGTTCTGTCTCAGCATCCTTTCCATTTCTTTCCTCACAGAACTTGTTTATTCCTCTCAGTTGTGCCACATCTGCAGAAGCGTTCTGTGTCAAGAGACCCGGAGAGAAAGCTTAGCCATTATACTCAGATAGACTTCAATGTGCTTAGGCAGTGGAGGAGGCAAGATGGGCACAGCTTGGCTGCTGAATCCTAGCGGAGCACCAGGCAGGGGCGTTTGTTCGCGGTTCATGGATGCTAGGCTGAATTCACTTACACTGAAAGAAGGTATAGATGAGGTTCTGCCAAGGACTCTCTGTGCTACATCTCCTTGTCTTTACTTATTGAAACAAGGATGAAAGAAGCCTGTATTTGGAACATCATTGTGACTATGTAAAATTTACCTTAACTTAAAATGCTTGGTGTTAAAAACAAAAAAAGACTTGCTATTTTCTACCAGAGATCACTTGCTACCATCCAGTTAATAATATTGACAGTTGTGCATAGATTGTCATCAGGGTCTTGTGGGTACTGGCCAGGGTGTCTCCGTGCAAACATTCATTTCTTCCTGCCCACACACTGTTGTCCTGCAGCTTTTTCTGCTGCCTGGGCAGCATGACCAGATATGTCCTTTGGCAGAGCCAAATGGTCATGTCTGTCTATAAGCACCTACCAAACTAGGTAGAGCCAGTAGATAACAAAACCGAGACCAGATATGGTGCCTTGTAGAGTAAGTACATGGTTGGGCATGAATGACTTTCCCAAAGGATGGGTGCGGAAGTCAGATAGTTCAGCATGGCAGTGGATGTGTCAGTGATGGCAAACATGGGCTCTATCAGAAAGAGCTGCCCAGAATCCGTGTTCTCAGAGAGCTGATGTTCCGAGTGGTGGTGGTTGTATTGGGCAAGTGGCAGACAGAGAATGGATCTAGCCAGTAAGGAAGGTGGCCAGGGTACACTTTTCAACGCAGCAGTTGGGGAAAGTGAAGTCTGAGCAAGGGGCAGGAGAGGAGCCAATCCTACTGAGGGAAAGGCATCCTAGGCTGTAGGACAAATATGCCCAGTGGGGATGAGGAACCACAGGGGCTTGTGACTAGAGAACTATGGAAAGTAAATCCAGGGGGTGGGGACTGTGTACTAGACTTTGAAGCATTTGGCAGGGAATTCTGAGGCTGATTTTGACCCATAGTCTGTGGGGAACCACTAGGGAATTTTGCTCAAAAGAGTCATGTGACATGCTTAAAGGATCATGTTCAGGAGCTGGACATAGTCTGTCTAGCGGAAGAGGAGCTTGTGGGAGGAAAGACCCTCATCTCTGTCACCCAGGTGGTACATGCTGCTGGATTGTTCCCAGATGGGAGCAACGGAACAGGCAATAGGTGCACAGTTTTAGCGTAAGTGAAAGGCCTTGCCAGCACGATTTGTTCAAGATGATCATTGCCTAATGAAACAACGTTAACTCCCTTAGCCAGAGTGTCTCTTTTTATGACTTAACATTACATTTATTTATTATGTATGTGTGGGAGGAGTGGTTGTGGATGTCTGGTGTGTATGACAGTAAGAAGACAACAGTGATCTCCTGCTTGCAAGCTCAGATGAGGCGAGAGGTTGCTTTTAATCAGATTTACCCCCCAAAGAGTGTGGAAGTAAGTTCTCTCCTTGTGCCATGTAGTTTCTAGAGATGGAAGCCGGGTTGTCAGGCTTGGTGGTAAGCATCTTTACTGGCTGAAGCATCTCACTGGCCCACTTTTTATGACTTTTATAACATTTTAGAGGCTTACCTCCCACAACCCTCACTTGTTTTGTATGAAGGACTGACAGCCCTGATCCCAACACTAAGAGCCCCCTGGGTCACCAGGACCATAAAATAGAGTAATTGTCTGAGCTGGGGTACACTGTATCCAAATTCTCCATCCTATTTTCAGTTTTTCTTTCCTACTTAGCTTGGGATCTGAGCTCTCATTGAACGATTACCATCTGGAATGACATCACTCATATCCATTTAAAATGCCACTCAACAAGTGGAGGGTCCTCAGTACTAGGGAGGTAACTCCTGTCTCCCTGAGACTTTCCCAGCCTCACCCCCTCCAGATCTACCCTCCCTCTAACATGGTGATACTGGACTGAATTCAATCATTTCTCGAGCTCTCATTTCTGTCTGATGAAGATTTATGAGTTGGCAATTGTCTGTAGTAAGGTCACAGAGTATCATTTGTGTTGGGGGCTAAACTTCCTGGTGACATTTCCGATTAAAGAAACAATGAAAAGTGTGATTTCTACAGCACCAAACCAGGTAATGTGATCCAGCCTGGCTAGTGATCCAGGGCCTTGGATTTCCGAACAGAGGACTCGTGAAGCTGGGCACAAGGACGAGTAGTCTTTAAGGTTCATTTCATAAATTAATTTTTTAAGGCATCACACCCCTCTGTTGACTCTGGGTGCCTTCTGCGTGACATTTCCCAAACAGAAGGATGAGAACAGTTCATACCTCTAAGGCCTCTATTGGATTATTTTTATACACCATTTAAAAACACTTTTTTGGGGGGCGGGTAAATCTAATTGAAAGCAGATCTCTCCCCTCACCTAAGCTTGCAAGCAGGAGATCACTGTGGGTGAAAGAATGAAATCATGGAAATTTTCCCAGTTCCATGGTGAGACTTGTTCACTCACTTCCCTGAAGCCTGGAGCACATACTAACAGCTCTTCCTCATGTGTACAAAGCAGGCAGAGACAATGCAAAGAAAACATTGCTCAAACCTCACTGTGAAGCCTGTAGCCAGCCCAAGACACCTATGAGGTGTTTGTAGCTCTCTGTTGGGGACACTAACACTATGTCACTGAGTCATCGGGCCATTTCCTAAAGGAATAGAACTGCAGTCATGGGTCCCATGAAGTGAATCGTAAAATAAGAATGCCTATTAAATATGGAACTGTGAGAATGTCTTCCTTCCATGCAGACAGCCTTGGCTTATAGACCAATGTAGGTTTATTGTACCAAGCACTGTACTCAGTCCTCTTAAAAATGTCTGTAAAATCCTAAGGAGTTCACAGACTGGAATGCATCTGCCCAGAAAAGGGCAGAGCTGGGCTCTACTCAGAGAGCTGTCTTAAGTGTGGAGTTGGTACAGATGCTGCTGGCTTTGTAGCAAGGGCAACCAAAATCATTGTGCTTAGAGGCAGAGACTCAGGAGCAATGACAGTCCTATAAACCTGCAGCTTTGGGTGTTAGCATAAGGATGTAGAAACTGGAGCCTTACGGTGGCAAGGTTATATTTCTGTTTTCCATTGATATATTCAGAATGCCCTGGCCACCAGCAGAGGTCCCACTATTGTTTATAACCCCACCCTACAGGCAATGTGTGACAGTAACATCTCTGGAAGGGTTATTATTTGCACCAGCTATTTGAACAGTGCTTTGGAAACATGTACTTATTCAATTTTGAACAGTTTCCTCATGCATTGTTGGTTCCCTTTCTACAATTTTAAAATGGCTCAGCACACACATGCACCTGTATTGCACAACGGGGATAACTACAGGTTTCTTTTGAGTTATCACTGTCTTACAGTTTTAGAGTGAAGCTGACCGTAGTGAGAAAAAGCAGGTGTGAGTGTCTGAATCTTAAGTGACCCCCAGTGGTCCATGTATTAAGGGCTCAGACCCCAGGTGGCACTGCTGAGAAGCAGGGCTTTGGGGGAAAGTTTGTAGGTCCCTGGAATGTGCCTTTGAAGTAGCTTGTAGAACTTCACCCCCTACTGTTCCTTTACTGACTTCTTGGCCTTGAGGTGGGAAGCTCCCACTGTGCTCTGTTGCTCTGCCATAGACCCGAACGATGGGATCGATTACACAGAAACCTCCATAGCTATGGTCTGTATCTCTGGCATTCTGTTACAGTGATGGGACACCAGTGGACACAGCATGAGGGTCTTAAGCAAGTTCAAGGTCTATGTTAGCAATGATCATCATTATTCACCAGTAAATGTAAGTAGCACAGTTCTCACTGATGTGTACTGCACAGTCCAAACCATCTTCACTTGTTTGTGTCCTTGTCTCTTTTTGTTCAAGACTTGGTTGCAACTCGATTCTGCTGTGCTTTGTCTTTGTGGAGTGTGCCTCTTGCCCTTTTGGTCTGGTGTAAAGACTTTATTTCTTAAGCGTCTGGCTTGCAGCTCACTGAAAATGTTGGCTTGGCCCTCTCTTGCCATTCCAGATGGCTTCAAACAAGCTCTCAGCTCACATCTGGCTTCTTGAATCACCACCTGGAGTTCCTACTGTGGCTTGGTACACTACTGACCCTGTGTTCGACAGATCCCCACCCAGTCGTGTGCTGGAGTGAGTTACAATTATCTGAGCTCAGCTGCTAAGAGTGGCAAGTGTGAGGCTGTTGGTAAAATTTGAGTTGTGTCACCTGCAATTAAATAAAGTATCTCAAAGCCAGAGTTAGTATCAGCTCAAAATTCATTGCTTCCAAATGCTCTCAACTGTAGTATCTCTCTACCTGTGGGTAATATGTATTATACGGTGGCATTACTGAGCATCACTTTCCAGTCTGTTCTGTGACATCACACAGCCACTTGAAATCAAACAAGCAGGGGACATTTATAACACAGAGCATGCTGTGGTTACAAACGCAGGCTTTCTGGCCACAGACCGATAAAGGGATTAGCAGCATGCTGTCAAGGCAGTACTTCTGCTGTGGCATACGAAGGCTGCACAAACTTCTGACAAACATACCTCTTGCAGTTACTACATCAGTTTGGCCCCTTACGGGACCACCGCCAATTGCAGGTAGAGGATTGGTAGCTATTCATTTTTGGTGCAAATTCTTCCTTTCTCAATGCTGTGCCACCTCTAGCCTATTTGGTGAATGAAGATAAGGCTGTAGGCTTACAAAAAAAAAACCCAGAAACAAAAAACAAGAAAATAGCGGGGATGTTCGGTAACATCTGTGATCTCACAGTATGACAGGTAGAAAAAGTGTGCCAGCAAGGCACCAGTTTCCAGTAGGGAGTGTTCCTCAGGGTACAGAGAAACTGAACTTCTACGACACGTCTTGTACTAGGTAGATACAGTCAGTAATGACTGTCTTTTCAAAATGGACTGGGGTGTCTCCGTGTGAGTGTGCCCACGCATGCAAAGTGTACACACAGGACTGTAGATGAAAGAGTCTCAAATTTGGGAATGGCGGGAGGGAAAAGTTGAGTGAGTGGAGAATGACTGTTTAAAAATCTTGTGGATACTAGACTGACCTAAAGGTTGAATGCTGCCCAGTGCCAGCATTGGTATGTTTAATGGTGACTCTCAACTGGTATCACTGGGAGCTGTTGAGGAGTCTATGAAATAATAAATAACCCTGGGCTTGGCGCATTCATAAATTTCATATAATGATAACTAGTTAACACTTTCCAAAGGCTCTGAGGAAATAGCCAGTGTGACCCTTCACATTTACAACCCAGCTTCACACATTTTATAATTAAACTGCCTGCAAGTGACTTATAACCCGGGATTTTTCCTTTTCCTAATAGACTGCTTTGGCACCTTTTAGGACTTGGCTGTTAACCTGGCTGCCTGTATTTCAGGAACACTCTTGAGTTCTGGACAATAAAGACACATTGCAGTGCTTATAAAAAAAGCATATTTCAAACAGCATACCAGAGCTACCACTGTCTCTGGCGACTAAGACACGTGACCTCCTAGTTCATCTCTGTCAGGAGTGTCACAGTCTGAAGTGACTTTGAACACATCAGAATACACACGGAGATGAAATTGCTCTTCTGTTGGAAAGTTGTTTTCTAGCATGAAGTCTTGGACAACTGGGATCTGTACAACCATGGATCTGAATTTTTTAAAGAAAACAATTGCCTCCAGCATGCTGCTGGCTTTATTTCTAAAATAGCTATTTTACAGATTGTGGACACATGTCTTCTGTTTGTAGGTTTCCTCACTGAATCAGAGCTAGCACTAAACGACCTTAGTGAAAATGGAGGCTAGCTCACTGTTCTTTCTCTTTAACACATTGCTAACATGGATAAACATGTCTGTAAACAGGACACCCGAAGAAGTTCTTGTGTGACATCACCATCCAGTGCTGCCCCAGCTGGCTGCTGCCGGGGAGGATAACTGAGGTTGAGAGATGTTCAGTAACTTGCCTGTGGTCTCATGTCTCCCAAGTGGCTGTGGAAGGCTGACTTTTAACACTTATCAGGGCATGGGTGAGGGAAAAAGTGTAGATTTGGAGGGGCAGATGAGAAATCCAACCAAAGGTCCTACAAGAAGGGAAGCTTTGGGTTGCTGTGTGTGTGTGTGTGTGTGTGTAGAACATTTTTACCAACAGAAATATCACAGGGGTGGCAGGTGGGAGATGTTTCATCAGGAAAATGACCAGGTTACGAGATGAAACCACCACTTAGGGTGTTTGACTGGATGCTTTATATGTAAGTGGTTTGGGAGGGTCTGCAGTGAGAAACAGAGCCAAGTGGGTGAGTTAGATATGGGTGCTACTGACTTCCAGTAATGAAACAGTGTCTTGTACATTTTCAGAATTACATCTGTTTTCTTGGACTGGGGTAAGATGGCTTGGGGAGATGAGCTCAAAGTCTTAGCAGGTAGTTAGGGCTAGGGATACTGAGCAAGAGTGTTCTGTAATGATGGAATCTGAACATATGAGCCCTTAGACCAGAGCTTGGGACATGCTGCCTGATGTGACCTGGGCACTGACAGAAATATGACCACATTACAAATGTGGACTCATCTGCTCTTTGGCAACTGAGAAAATGTTTACTGAATGCCCATTGTGCCTGGAACTTTACCAGTCTTGGAGATATGGCCTATGGGGCAGGCAAAGGGTGATGCCATAGAAATAATAAAAATGCATTTGATCTTAGCCAAGAGGCCGAGAAGTGATAGAAACAGCAGAGACGACAAAATTCTAAGGGCTGCTGACACTTGTTGAGGATGAAGCCCGACCAGACTGTGAGCTCCATGAGGATGTGCAGTTTGTGACTGCTGTTTGTATTCCCTGCTGCAGTGCTGGCAATTAGAGCGGTGTGTGGTGCATGGCACATGATTATTGTTAGATAAACATGCCAGCCACGGTTCCAAACAGATACATATGCAACAGGTCACCTTATTTCATACCTGCCCTGTCAAGTATGCAGACTGCTCTGTTCATGTCCCTGGCCCCAAAGTGGCTTACTGAGCAGAGATGACCTGCGCAGATGTCTAAGGCGTCTACTTGCAACCACGTCTCTATGCAAAAGAGATGGTTATTGAAGATGTGCTCATGGCATCGTTCTTTTAGGGCATAGCTGACACTAGGGAAGGTTGCCATGTCTGGTGATACAGGACTGTAGCATCACTATGTTTGGATTGGAGCTGCAGGGATGGGGCAGGATCCCACAGTGGTTCTTTTTTCACCTTTGAGGCAGAGCTGCCATCTCCAGACCAGACACGTACCTCCTCAGAGCAGCCATTTCATTAGGCATTTTGCCCGTGTGGTAAAACTTATGCTAGGAGCTGTGGGGACTGGAAACATGGGTGTGAATTACAGTTTCATGATATGTGAGAGTTCACATACAGGAGGCAAGAACAGTATCGAGGGCTGGGAACTGTGATGAGCTCTTGCAGTTCTGAGGGGACAATGCCTTTGCCCTCTTTGTGATAGGCAAATGCCTGGTACAAATCACAAGTATCCCTGAGGGTCGTAAGATACCCAGACTTCCTCTGTGCGGCTTGAGGACCCCTTGTTATGCTTGGGCTGATTGTCCTGAAGCCTGCTTTTGTTTAGTAGGATTTTTGGTTACCAAGGAGGCTCAGATTCGATGACATGTCTGATAGTCCCCAGGGATTGGCAGCTGGAAGGAGCAACAGTCTGGGAATACATGACAGTGAATGCTAGGTAAGCCATGTGCCTGGAAGACATGGTGATGGATCTTATCCTGTTTACACACTGATTTTCCCACTAGAATGGTCATTGGTTAAGGTTGGCCTCTACTGAGTCCTCTGGGGTCATTTCTGTTGTAGGTTCATTTGGAGTCTGCCCAGGGTGGCGGGGGGGAGAAGCTGCCTCCTTTGACTCCTATGTCCCTTGAACAAAATAGCTCCATGCATGCTCCTTTGTAATCATGAAAAGCTACAGCCCGCACGGTGCTGGGGGCTGGGGTGACTCACTGAGGTGTCTTCTTGCTGGCTTGTGAACCCTGGGAAGCCCCAGCTGTGCAGAGAACAAGCTGTTGAGTAGTTTGCTTTGGTTCCCAGTGCTGACCCACCAGTCAGCGGGCCGGTGATTGATGGAGGTCTGTGCTCTGGGTTATGTGAATTTGGGATGTTTTCAAGGGAAAAATCTGGTCATGAGGCAAGGGCTGGCCAGGTTTGAGATAAGTGTGAAAAACACATTACAAAAGGCAACAAACTGAAAGTTTCCTGACAAGGCAACTGGCCCTATTTAAGGTGTCCCTGTGTGCATGTGTCTCTGCAGGGCTGGAGGCTGGGTGTGTGAGCATGGGGTGTGGGTGTACATAAGTGTTAGAGGCCAGCAGAGAGAAGAGATGGAACATAGATGTGGCTGGGGAAGGCAGGGTATTAATCATGTTAAAAGCAATCTGGCCCCATGGGATTTATAAGGATCCAACTAAAATCAATGGGAAATTTTATGAGACAATTTTCTTCTTGCTGGCTCTGGGGATTGTTTGAACTCTCATGGAGTTTCAGGCGGGGCTGGCTCAGAGTTCCTCCAGTTCTCACACCTGGGTGTGAAACTATGTCTTATGCATGTTGGCAGTTTGGAGGTGAGTCATCTTGAAGGACTGCAGCCTTGACCTCCTGACTTCCTGGCTCCTTGGCTCAGAACTGAGACTTTTTGCTAGCAGTCAGGAGTTGTGGGAGGAGGAGGAAGGGGTCAGAGGGCCATGACCAGTGTGCTTTGTCTGTGGTGTTCACACAGATGTGGGAGGACAGCAGATGCATACAGGGCTGTGGGCCTCCAGTGTTGCCTACAGCTCCTCATTTGCTTCAGGAAATGTGTAGATGTTTCCACCATCTCTCCCATTCTCCCTACCCAGGCAGCCTTCAGTCCAAGCTACTAAGAGCTGCCCCTGAAGTCAGCTTTGACAGGTCTGTCTTTATGCTGATGACCTCCATCAGCTGAACTGCCGGGGAGCACTTCTCATCCTGTGATGAGTCTCGTTGCTTAAATGGCGTTAATTCTGAACTGATTCAAACTTGCATTCGGAAGCGTATAGAAAACATTGGCTAGAACTGCAGCAACCACTATTGAGCCTTGGGAGATACTAATGTTTGCTAAAGCAAGCCTCTTCACCAATCCTAGAGGTAAAGCGAGCACATAATAACGCCACTCCTCCCCCCCAAATAATATACAATGGTGTGTACTTCTGTGACTATCGATATTATTTATCTGCATATAGCCTTTGGGGGACCATTT